CAAAAAATTATATGTTTGGGGGCGAGGGGTGCAAGGACGGACGGAATATATTTGTTTTTGAATTACAGCCTGTTGAAAAAAAGATACCAGATTTTTCCTGCATATAAATAAAAGGTTATAGCTTCGGAACCACCCGCCATAGAGCAACCATCGAGGGCTTGCTTTACGAGTAATAATATTCATTGCTCTTTATTTTTGGTCTTACAATCAATTCGATTTAAGCCATAGTTTTCGAGATACATCTCGTCAAAGCTCGTCAAAGTCCGAAATTTTGTTTCTGAATTTTTCGCATGCTTTTTAAACACATTTATCTTGTTTTGCTTGCAAAACTATGAGAGGCAGAGGAAAATGTTATATGGGTTGACTTTTAGGTTTCATTGTAATGCATCAAAAAAAAAAAAAACAAAAAAAAATAACACAAACTTTCGAAAAATTTTTAGTTTTTTAAAAAAATCTAAAAAAAAAAAAGCAAAAATTCTTTGTTGCTCGGATATATCTACAGCGCCCCCGCCCCCCCCCCCCCTTAATTTTTTGTTGGAAATTGGATCACGCAATCATGCTTGATGAATATGGGCCACCTTATGCGAAACACCCTGTATGGAATACGTGTATACATAAATTTTTTTATTAATTTTTATCTTCCTTAATTTGTGATTCAGTTGTATGTACTAAAGATTTGTAAGTGTAGGATAAGTGCATGTTAAGTTGAAGGTTTTGTATGTATATAGGTGTACATTGGAAATATAGCAGGCCAAAAATAAATTGTTATATCCTTTAACCCTTCCAACAATTCCATATGAATTTCTATGCATATTAAAGTACAAATGAAAAACAAAACACAAAATCTAAATTGCAGGCGGTAATTTTTACTATCTGACGCGAAATTTCCATTTTCCTTTTTTGGTTTTTTTTTTATTCTATTTGGTTAGATATGTATATGATAAGTACATGAAGTCATAACAATTACGTTTTAGTAGGAACCTTAATTTAAACAAAAAAAAAATGTGTTCATGCAATTTACCTAGTAACCAACCATACACATGCATGTATATAGAAATTCATTCCGAACTGTTTGAAGTTTACTTTATAGTTGTAAAGAATTTAGGTGAAAAATAAAAAGAGCAACAGGAAAACAAAATGAAAACTGTTAGCTTTGCTTATATCAAAAATTTTTAACAGTTTTTTTATGAGAGAATTTTCTTTACACCACTTACTATATTATTGTAGAATCTTTTATCAAGGATAACATTTTCATTTGATGTAACATATATATACATATATACATGTATTCATCTACATGTAAATTTTTTCTCTAATAAAAACTAAGTATACTTACTTATTTTTTTTTATGATTAATATAACTTCATTTTCTATTATACAATATTGTATAAGTGTAGGTTAAAAGTGTCTAATTTTAAAAATTTCATATGAAAATTGTTTACTTAAAGTTAGGAAAAATTATATGAAAAATTGCATATGAGTAATTGTAATTGCGTTTAAAATGAAGCACTCATTATCTTAAATTGAGACCTAACTCTTTTGTTTTATGATTTATGATAATTTTTGATATTTAATTCATTGCATTTGTTCTAATGAATATTTAAAAATTATTTTTGTTTTTAATATTTATAATTAATTAATTAAATTTCAAGTTCCACATTTTATTCTTTCACTACTTTTAACCCTGTAAATTGTCTTTTGTGACCTCTACACCGGAATTGCAGAAGTAATGTCAAAAATGGCCTCCTATCTCTCCTTTAAGGTTGAAAACTATTATAGTTATTTATAAAAACAAACTCGCCAATAGGACATGCTAGACTTCCAAACAAAATTTTAATGGAAACCAATAGATACCATAAATCCAGAATGCATTCATATTTCCGGAAATAATGGAATCGAAGAAACATACATGTTTTTAATAATTCTCTTACTATTTAGTTTAAGAGATTTTTTATGTTCTTTAGAGTTTATAAGAAGCTTTATGAAAACATCATCACATTAAAATTTAGTTTAAATATATTTGTGGGTATTTCAACACTTAGACAGAAATTTTTCTCTAATGCTCTGTTTAATTTCTGCGTACATTCGAAGGTGAGTTTTAAAAATTTAATATTAATGTAAATTGAAAGTAGTTTGTAGTTTATCTGGAATAATGAAGTACGCAATTTTTTCCGAAAAGTATGCAATTTGTTCCTTCCCGAAAGTATACAATATTTTATTAAAAAATTAAATAAAAAATGAGCATTGAGAGAATTTTCGTCATGTTATTTAATTTTGTTATCTTTTTTATTTTCTAGATTGATTGTAATTCCAAATAATTAATTAGTATGCTTCTAGGATTACATTAAAAAATGCTGCCAGAAACAAATACAACATTATTTAAAGAGCATCTGCATTATGCTGTTACAAAAACTTTTTAACTATGGCATACATAATCACAGCTTTAGTGATAAAAACAGTGCAGAGATTTTTGGAATTGTGACAAAAGTTTCATTATTCTATAAAACATAATTATAACAATAGTGTTTTACTTAAGTTTATTACTGATATACTTGTATAATATTTTTTTGTTAAAAATTCCACCTGCTAACAGCATTTTTAATTAAGAATTTTCAGACAAAATAGAAAACAATAAATTTTTATAAAAATTTTATTTTATTGCTTTCGGCTTTGTATAAGAAATCTTATTTCATTTAAAGCAAAACACTATAAAATTTTTTATAAAGGAATTTTATGACAAACAATAATTCTTCTCTTTTCTATGCACCTTTTATTTAAATTTATAAAGTTACAAAATAAGAAGCGTATAGATAGGTGCACAAGGAACTTTTCTTTTGTAGTACCGTTTAATTCATTTGACTCCTTTTTCTATATTATTTTCAAAATGAAAATTACATCGCCGGAATCTTTTCTGTATAATCCTTATAATTTGTATTATACTTTCTTAATGAAGCGCTGATTTCGTGTGTTTTTATCCATATAACTTTTTTTTACTGCATTCTTGGTTCTTAATTATTTTTGCTTTGTCTTATATTTTCTTCAGTTTTCTTAGGCTCATAGTTGTACTTGTATTCATACTTAATAAATGTAAATAAATTTTTTATTTATTTGACACAATAATATACATACATAAACTAACTACACCAATACACCCTGCACTGCAAATTCCTAAAAACTTAACCTACAATACATTTTTTTTTTGGTTCATCACTCTTTCTTTACTCCTTCTTAAATTCTGATGTAATTTTCATTATTACATGTTACAGATATCCTCCTATAATGTTATGTATACATAGCCTAGTTGAATATTACTGCATATTTTTATTATTACAGCGAATATGACTATATTTTTCTATTTGTTTTTTTTTTTTCATATACGTTATAATATTTTATGGCTTATACATGAATTCCTTGGAGAAATGTATGTATTTTTTTTCTGTTTTAAATTAAAGTTATGTATAAATTATTTATAATATTAAAGCAAAGATAATGAGGTGACAACTTAAAAGTTAATTAAAATATCCTTATACAAAATTACAAAACGAAGGGTGAAGCATAGTCAGTGTTTTAGTAACGAAATGAATAACAATACAAGAAGAGCGAAAAAAAAGCAAAAAAAAAAAAGAGAAAATTCGAATGAAAATATGGGCGAAAACCTAGGGGAACATTAAATAAATCTGAAAATTTAGAGTATGTTTGTGTATATATAAAGGCATATATAAAATCATGCGATTATACCTAAAAGCAATGCATGTATAACACGAGAAATGGAATGAATAAAGATAACAGTAAACTTGGGCTTCTTTTTTTTCCTATTGTTATTATTTTATATTATTATATACAGTTACAAATTTCATTATACTCGTACAAACTAATGGTCAAAGGGTATTGTAAATTTACTTTTCCGTTTGTTGCGCTGAGGAATAGACGTTTGAAATGTAGGCGCGATTTTCGACTTAACGATGTCTGTCCGTCTATTTGACTTTCCAAACGATAAGTCAAAGATGTGATACGCTAAGCAAATCCAATTTTCACCAATTACTTAAAGTTTTTACCGCAAGAATCTTATTTAAGTTGGGTTTAATTAAAGTAGCCACATAACTCCTCCAGAAACAATTCTGGAATTCATACAAATTAGTTTGATAATAGAACCATGAGTCTAGTAGAATTCAGTTCTGATTTTATAAATACTTACAATAACTTCAATACAACTTCAAAATTTATTTGCTCATATCTTGACAACTAAATAAATAAAGTTTTGCAGTATTGAAATTCTAATATAAATATTCTTATACAAAATTTGTGGCGATCATATTAGATCCTACAACAGTTGCCACAAAAATTAAAAATATTATTGTCGCATCCCGAAACCCATACACAAACTACAATATTCAAACTTCACACAATCGAATCTACCAACAATGCAATTAGTTTCGTCAATTCAGCTGTTGAAGAATAGACTCTTTCGGGTATCACAGAGTTGGCAGAATCAACACTATTATTTCTCGTTTTGTTTTGTTGTTATTATTGTTTACGAAACCCTGTTGAAATAATAATAATTGCTCTCTTTCATATTAAATATTTGTGAATGAAAAAAAAACAACAACAAAATGTACAAAAGCGCGCGATATAGAGAAAATGTAGAAGACTGCGACAATTTACAAAAAAACAATGGTTGGAAAAAAAATGAAAACGAATTAAAAACGAAAGCAGAAGAACAACATAAGGGCAGAAGGGTTTTAAATTTTTTATGAGTTTAATTTAATAAAACATGATAATTATTAAAAACCAGAAAAAAAATCTCTGATAACAAAAATGGGAATGCTGCGAGAAAAATGTGCTGTTAGCTTTAAAACTCTTGTAGATTTTCATTTGATTTTTTTTTTCTGTTTCGTCGTGTGAAAATTTTCATAATTATTATGTAAAATTTGAAAATTCAATTTTCTTTTTAATTTTTTCTCATAAATGTTGTAGAATTGCTGCACTATACGAAACTTTTTTTTTATATAATGAAATTTCAAAATTATTTTTCATAGCAGGATTAAAAATTAAATGTATGTAATTATGTATCCAAAATGTTTTCTTAGCATACACACGTATGCAGGTATGTAGGTGTGTATAGTAATTTAAAGAAAGTATAAAATATTTTTAATTTTAATTAAAAATGAAAATGTTTTTACTTACAACTATTAGAAGTCATATTAAATAATTTTTTTCTTTAAATACCTGAAACGAGAAAACAATTTTAATTTATTAATTTAAGAAAAAGTTTTTATAGCAAAAAAAAATTTAGTGAAATATAGGATAATTTAAATTATTGTGTTAGGCAAACTTTCATCTTTTTCTTCACATAAGTAAAGCAGGCTGTAACTTTGTTGTATTACATATTACAGTATTTTTAGACACTGTAGAATCCTGGAAACGTTGTGTATAATAGAACATTCAATAATCATACAACATACTTCATAGCACTCTTAGTTAAAGTACCACAGTTGTTGAAAACATAAATTTTTGACAAAATTAGAAAAAGTTAAATATTTTAACTACACCAGGAGATCTGCAGATTTCATAAAAGTGGAAATTCATAAAGGGACCTATCAAATAAGGTCTTGTTTTTATTAGCAGTTGTCCAAAAAAGTTTTGCACGTTAAAAAAAAAAAGCTTAAATTTCATATGTATACATAGATTATGTACCTCGAAACTTATTTCCGCAGAAAATTTTTACCTATCTCCGCCCTCCAAATGCTATATCCCAAAAACCCCAGAAAAACAATTTTTTAACTTTTCATTGTAGCGAAACCATAGGCATTTTTCAATTTTGCAAACGCAGAGAAATAGTGACTGCTTTCTTTATTTGAACTTTAAAAGAACAAAAAAATCAATTTTTGCCAAATTTCTGATATCGTTTTTCTTCTAAACCGCATACTATAGAAGCCTGAAATTTTTGGCAGCTAACAAATAGTTTATTTCGTTAGAAGAAAATTTCTTTCCACCTCAACCCCCTATCAACTTGTCGCCTTTGGACATTTTGTAAAATTCGGATTTTCGGTTACTTATATTTCAAAAACTCTAAGCTTTTTCAAATTTCTATAAATACAAAAAGCTAACGATAAGCTGCATGCAATTCAAAAATATAATTATTTTTCTTAACTCAAGCAAGTAACCCTAAAATCCGAGGGTTATGTTAACATCCCTTTCTACTCTTTTTTTTTTTTGCTCATCCTAAATATATGCAAACTTTGAAATTATTTCATATATGAATGAAATTAATTTTAATAATGTGGTACATTGTTTTTAAAAGCAGTATTTTCACTTTTTGAAGGGAAAAGTGGTACATTATGAACCATTGGTTTAACCCAACTTTAATTTTATTTATTTATTAAATAAATGCAGAGGTTTCTGTTTGGGTCCTGCATTATGGGAAAGTGACTTGAGAAAAAATTGACTAATACGAGTATAGCGTTAACAAATGTTTGCAGAGTGTTTTTAGTATAATAGGTTTAGTAAAAATTCTTTAAGATTTGTAAATCGTATTTATTCCTTTTCTTAACGTTTTTTTAAAGAAAAATTGAGTAAAGCCTTTTCTTTTAATGTTTACATTAAAATTTAAAAATTAAATTTTAAAAAAATTTAACATTTTCAATTAAATTAATTATTAGTTCCCTTATGTTATTGGTTACTACCATTGCTATCGTGCAATCAGTTATTGCCATTGTAATCGTACAATCATGACCTAAGTGGTTATGTTGAATATAACCACCCTTTTTCTTCTTCTCCTACGACAGATACCATCTTAGACGAATAATATATTTAAGTTTTTTCTACATATTTTATATAAAATTTTTCAAAGCGCGCTTTTCTTTTTAAATTATTTTATTAAATTTTACAAAATTTCCCAAAAACTGTAGGAACAGTGTAACTCAAGAGACACAGAAAATGTATACAAAAATGTAGATGTGTTTAGGTAGAAAACGATCTCTCAAATTGTATAGAATTAATTTATCTTTATATATTTAAACTAATTTAAACTTTTTTCTTGTATATTTATTACAAAATTGAAGTATAAATTAGGAAAAAATGTGAAAATGAAAGTAATTTATTTATTTTTCCTCCCTAATTTTTGGTTTTTGTAAATTTCATTATTTGATTTTTACATTGCTTTTTTTTATTTTTTGGCCCTATGTTTACAGGTTTGTACACAGCTACATAATCAGGTGTTAGCCAAAGAACACAAAATTAATTTTGTTTTTTTTATTTTTTATATTAAATGCTGGATAATATAAAAAATATTAAATAAATAGAAGAATGAATTATATAGAAAATGAACAAAGTGTAATTGTAACAATATCAAAAAAAAAAAGAAAAAGGATAACAACCACAAGTGATTGACATTGTCAGATTCAATGGTCCATGCTATGAACACTTGACTGTTCTCATTCTGTCATTGTTAATTTTATATAAAAAATTTTAAGCAAAATACTCGTAATATTGTAAAAGTATGTATGTGTAGTTGAGTATATAACATAAAGATGTAACTATAAGAACCTTATGGTTGATTGCTCAAATTTCTTCCATTTCTGGTCATACAACAGTTTTGCTTCCGATTATTTGTTTTGTAATTCTGTATCTATTTCTCTCACATTTTCCATGTACATACATATTTATTTTGGTTTTGACAAATTGAAAGTATCTATAAGAAATGTAAGCATGTAATCGGGGAATATACCATTTAATTATTGACAAATTTCTTTCATTTATATTTTATATCGTATAAAAAAATGTTTTTTTTTTTTGTTCTGTCGTGTATTGATTGAATTCTGTAGAAACAGATATGGGATAATTAATTTGTACTGTCGGAACAATTCAATTATTTCAATAATTTCATTTTAAAATTAAAAATCAAATTAACCAATCGTTTTCTTCTGTGTACTGCTCTTACACGCGCTCAGATTTATATTTTAATTAAAAAATCAAGACATCTCGTATAATCGTGCTTAGTTCCAAAATCTAATATAAAGAGACTCAGATTTTAAAGTGGCAGCAATGGACTTTTTGTGAGTGTTTTGGACTCTGATCAGCTGATCTATAATTTGGTTATAATTTCTGTAAAAAAGAAAATTATTAAATTTGTAAATTAAGATGTAAACAGCACCTTAATTCCATTATACAGTTAGCTAATATTATACTCGTATGTTAAAAATAAAAGATAGAAGAAACTTTAAGGACACAATTTGAATACGTGTATGCAAAATTGCGATTATTTGAAAAGAAAACTACCCTTTGTATATAAAAGTGAACATTGAATTTTTACTTTCTACAAGTATTGAAAGTATTGAAATATTATTATTAATACCAATAGATCAAAGCAAAATATTACTCATATATGAGTAAGAATATCAATATCAAGGACATTTTAAAGGGATCTTTAAAAATAAAGGATATCGTTTTTGTTAACATTAACGGTAAAATTTCAATGTTAAAAACATGCAATATTGTTTCTTATACGAATATTGTACACTAAGTTTCTACATTTCTATACAAAGAATTTACTGAGAAATTTCAAGAACATCTTGTAAAAGGTAACAAAAAAAAAGAGCAAAAATAAGCAGAATAAATTTGAGCTTTAAAATCAATGATAATATTATAGCAACAACAGTCAAGGTGCATATCAAAGGAATCAAGGTACACGGAAATTGTTATATATAAGTTGCAAAGTTTAAAAAAACCTCCGTAATGGCATAGTCATATAAGTGATATCCTTTAAGAATTTAAAATTTATTTTATAAAATTCACGAAAAATAGATTTTTATTAATAACCTTATATTGCCTTGACAAAAATTTCTTTTCTTACGTGGGGAAGACAATATTATTCGAGATTTTACTATACTTATGAATGAAAATCCTATATAAATGTTTATGAGAATTTTGCTTATTTAGTTTTCTCCAGTAATAATGTAAAAGAGAAGAAGGGTACAAATATGAAAGATATTTGTTTATAGTGAATCTTTATTTCAAGTGTTCTAATTTACAGAATAGTTTTAGAACTGGATTTTTAATTATTTACTCATGAACTGAGCAAAAAGTGAGTGAGGGTAGAAATGCTTTCCTTTTTTTACTATCATGATTTTTAAATGGAAACAATACGTTCAATTTATCTTTAGAGAATAGTAAAGTGAGTCCTTGATATTACTCGCATTATTTTACTGTTGAGAGAAAATGAGAAAATTAGTTAAGGTAGTGAAAATTTAAATAATTACGTCCGTGCTATGAGTTAAAAACAAAATGTACATAAAATTCTAAAAGTTTTTATGCCGTTTTTATAACACGTATCATAGCAGGTTTTATAACACGTATTTCAAAATTTATTTTTAAGTTCTATTACTTGATTTAAACTTAGTATATTAAAGCATGAATCTATAAAACTTGTCTTCACTATAAAATTATGTTAAAGTACTGAGTACGCCGCATAAACTTGAAGCCAAAATTTATCAAATTTAAGAAAATTGAATAATTATTTCGAGTTTTAAAATTCAAATGCTTGAATAATGCAGTTAGTAGAGTCACTTTGCAGTAGAGTAGATAGCAAAGTCACTTTGCAGTAGAGTAATTAGTAGAGTCACTTTGCATTATCCTTATATAAATTAAATGAAAGCCTCAAAAATTAATAAAATTTGAAAATATTTAAAATCCAAAAATTTAAATAATTTTCATTCTTATTCATTAATATTTTTGTAGTATAAAAGTAAAATTTGAATAGTAAATAATTGTTCTATAGAATCTAAAAAAAAATTGTTTTTTGTTAAAGGTGAGAAAGTAAAATTGTGAAGGCGTTTTGTTATAAGTAACATAAAACATTTAATTTCCATTAAGAAAATCTTCAGATTTTCACAGGGATTTTTTTTCTTTTTAATAAATTTATTTTAGTTTTTTATTCTCTCATAGTTTTTTTTTTCATTTTTGTTTTTTTTTGTTGTTACTGTATTGTATCCACTTTTTTCTTCTTTCACCACCTGTTCTTTAACATTATTTTTACGAGCGAGAATTTTTTATTTGTTTTGTAAATCATGTCAGGCAGGGTAGGTAGGTGTACATTTTAATGCAATATTTCAAAAAGGTGTAAAAAAAAATGTTTAAATAAAAAAAAATGTGTGATATGTGTACTTCTCACGTATAATATGAACCAAATACATAATATTATAAAAATACATTTAGAAGAAAATAAAAAA